TGTGGCCGTCGGGGCCCCCCAAAAGGGGGGGGGGGGGGGGCCCAAAAGAGCAGGAAAAATTAACGAATCGGCACCGGAATCGGCGGATGTGTATTAACTTGACACGTGCTGATAGGGGGCCTCCTGGGGCCTCCTGGGAGCCTCCTGGGAATCTCCTGGGGACCCCTGGGGCCTGTCCTGGGCGTCTTGCGGCCTCCTGAAGCTCTCTGGGGCCTCCTGGGGCTCCCAGGGGGGATGTGTAACATGTGGTCTTCTGGGCCCCCAGGCTGGACCACCTCTTGCGCGGCATCTGGGAGCTCAGTCAGAAATGCGAGAATGTCTTGTGCGAAACGGGCCGGACCACCTTGCGCACGGCATCTCAGAGCGGATGTTTCATGCGAAACGGGCCGGACCACCTCGCGCAGGGCATCTCGGAGCCCAGAGTTGCGAGGATGTCTCCAGCGTAACGGGCTGGACCACCTCGCGCGCGGCATCTCGGACCCCAGAGTTGCGACGATGTCTCTTGCGAAACGTGCTGCGAGGAAGTCTCAGGCGAAACGGGCCGGACCACCTCGAGCGCGGCGTCTCAGAGCTCCGAGTTGCGGGGGCCTCCTGGGGCCTCCTTGGGCCTCCTGGGGACCTCCTGCTCCCTCCTGTGGCCTCCTGGACCCCACCTGGGGCTTCCTGAAGCCTCTTGGGGCTCCCAGGGGGGGATATTTCACATGTGGCTGTCGGGGCCTCCCAAAATGGAGGGGGCCACAAGAGCAGGAAAACTTAACGAATCGGCACCGGATGCGTATTAACTTGACACGTGCTGATAGGGGGCCTCCTGGGGCCTCCTGGGAGCCTCCTGGGGATGTCCTGGGGACCCCTGGGGCCTGTCCTGGGCGTCTTGCGGCCTCCTGAAGCTCTCTGGGGCCTCCTGGGGCTCCCAGGGTCCCAGGGGGGATATTAAGATATGGTCTTCTGGGCCCCCAGGCTGGACCACCTCTTGCGCGGCATCTGGGAGCTCAGAGTTGCGAGAATGTCTTGTGCGAAACGGGCCGGACCACCTTGCGCAAGGCATCTCAGAGCTCAGAGTTGCAAGGATGTCTCAGGCGAAACGGGCCGGACCACCTTGCGCGCGGCATCTCAGCTCCGAGTTGCGAGGATGTCTCACGCGAAACGGGCCGGACCACCTCTTGCGCTGCACCTCGGGGCCCAGAGTTGCGAGGATGTCTCAGGCGAAACGGGCCGGACCACCTCGCAAGCGGCATCTGGGAGCCCAGAGTTGCGAGGATGTCTCAGGCGAAACGGGCCGGACCACCTCTCGCACGGCATCTCGGGGCTCAGAGTTTCGAGGATGTCTCAGGCGAAACGGGCCAAACCACCTCGCAAGCATCATCTCGGAGCCCGGAGTTGCGAGGATGTCTCAGGCGAAATGGGCCAGACCACCTCTCGCACGGCACCTCGGGGCTCAGAGTTTCGAGGATGTCTCAAGCGAAACGGCCCAGACCACCTCTCGCGCGGCGTCCTGGAGCGCAACTTTGAAAGGATGTCTCAAGCGAAACGGCCCGGACCATCAGATTTTTGTGAGAATGTCTCTGCTCCCCTTTCCTTTGGCCGGAGTTAGCTTCTATCACAACAGCACCCCGTTCAGCAAGCTGTTTGGGGAAAAACAACAACTACAACAACAACAACAACAACAACAACAACAGCAACAGCAACAGCAACAGCAACAGCAACAGCAACAGCAACAGCAACAGCAACAGCAACAGCAGCAGCAACAACAACAACAACAACGACGACGACGACACCAGCAGCAGCAGCAGCAGCAACCCTCGATGCCCACCCTCTTTGTCTTCGACCGCGCAACAACCTGAAAAATTACAGCGACTACAGCAAACAACCACAACAACAATAATATTATCCGAATGCTCAATGGATATAGATGCATCATGCATCAATCATGATAGCTCCCCCGTCCTGGGCGATCAGTTCTTGCACAGGGCTTCTCATATTTCCTTACCCAGATCCCCCACCCGAGGAGGTCTTGGCAATACCTCTTCCAAAGCACATCAACATCTCCAGCCCAGATGGCACATCGACTTCGCCATCGCCCCCCCACGTCTTGCTTCTATGAATCACAAGGCCTGAGTGGCCCAAAACCTCTGGGAGAGGCCCCACAACCTCCGGGAGAGCCCCCAGAGCCACTTGGACAGCCTCTGGAGCGCCTTGGAGAGCCCCACAAAGCCTCTCAGAGAAACCTCAGAATTCCTGTGGGAAATATGGTGGCCCCTGGGAGACGCTTTCAAACTGAACAGGAGGATTCCGGGGCATCTTGACGGAAGCCTGCAAAAAGTTTGGATCGGAGGAGCTTCTGAGCCTCGAAGGAGGAGGCTGAGGAGGAGGAGGAGGAGCAGGAGAAAAAGGTGGAGGACGACGACGACAAGGTCGCCGTCGCGGGCTCTCGGGCCGCCCCTGGCACGCGGAGCGCGCTAGGGTAGAGAGGCTCTGGTGCAGGCTCGTCCAGTGTGCCACTGCAAAATGATCGCCACCATCCTTCCTCATCCTGCCTCTTTCGTTGTCGTCCTCTTCCCTGCCCACTCTAGAGGGGCCTCCCTGGAGGGGTGGGATGGGCATGAACCCTTGTAGATAGTATGGTTTGCGAATGCCCTGTCGGCTCTGAAAGGGCCTCCCTGGAGGGGTGGGAGAAATGGAACCATGTAAATAATATGTCTTGCGACTACCCTGCCCGCTTTGGCAGGGCCTCCCTGGAGGGGTGGGAAGGGCATGGAACCTGGCAAATAGTATGTATGGTTTGCGAATACCTTGACCGCTCTGGCAAGCCTCTTTGGAGGCGTGGGAGGGGGCACAACAACTTGTAATATAATGGTTTGCAAATACCCTGCCCGCTGTGGTGGGGCCTCCTGGAGGGGTGGAAGGAGCACGAAGCCTTGAAAGTATAATAGTTTGCGAATACCCTGCCCGCTCTGGCGGGGCTTCCCTGGAGGGGCGGGAGCGGCAAGACACCTTGTACATAGCACGGTTGTCAAATACCCTGCCCGTTCTGGTGGTAGTGGCAGTGGTAGTGGTAGCAGCGGTTGTAGCGGTAGCAGTGGAAGTGAATAGCAGTGGTAGCAGTGGTAGTAGTGGTAGAATTGGCAGTAGTGGTAACAGTGGTAGCAGTGTTAGTAGTGGTAGTGGTGGTAGTATTGGTGGTGGTGATAATGCTGGTAGTACTGGTAATAGAGGTAGTGGTAGTTGTACGGAAGATGAGAAGGAGAAGGAAGAGGAGGAGAAGGAGGAGGAGGAGGAGGGAGAAGGCGAGGGTGTTCAAGGAAAAGAATACCACCACTCTGGACTAGTGGAAAAACGGGCGCACGCGGATCCATGGATAGGTCGCGTGGGTGCCAGATCCACGGATCGGAGGAGGTACCCCCAAAACATGATCCCCCGCCTGACTCGGAGACGGAGCGCGCCGATCCTGCACGGAAGCGGAACACGTCGCTATCTCACCCGCCTTGATCCAGGTATGCGCCACCTGGGGAACCCCTTGTGATTTTACCCCTCCCGCTCCCGCCCCGCCATGAGGGGGAACCATAAGGGGGGCGGGCCTGGCTCAGTGGGGGAAATGCTGACCTGGAATCGGCGATACATCGCCGATACATCGGCGATGGCGAAAGCGCACATTCCTGGGCGGGGTGGGGCTATCGGCCCCTAACTTTGCCCCTGACCCCCACGCTGCCTATATATCCTCCCGCCCACGGCTGGCGGGCGCCAGGCGCCCGCCTCCGCGCCGCAGGCGCTCCCGCCCACGCTCTCCCCGAGGCGCCGACCTCGAGGCCCCGAGGCCTCGACACTCGGAAGCTCGACGCCGACGCCGACGAAGACCACGACGACGCCGACGCCAACGACGACGCCGACGACAACGACAACGACGACGCCGCCGACGACGCCGACGACGCCGACGACGCCGACGCCGACGCCGACGCCGACGCCGACGCCGACGCCGACGCCGACGCCGACGACGACGACGACGACGACGACGACGACGTGCGCGGTGGGGCAGCGCGGCGCGGGCCGCCGCCGCGATGCCGCCGTAGAAGCCGACCCCAGGCACTGGGCGAGCCTGCGCCACCACGATGATGCCTCCGGGAGACTCGGGATTTGAGGATCGAGGATCCCTCTCTCTGGACCCCAGGGAGCTTCTCGTCGCAACGGCTGGATCTGCCTCGAAGTGCCTGTCAGAACGCACCTCAAAGAGATCCAGGGTGCTTGTTTGAAAGGGGAGTGGGGCCAGGAGGAGGGATCGAGGCTCGAAGATGAATGTCGAGGATCGAATTGATCGTATGTCTGCGGGAGCTGCTTGGGTCTCCTGGGTCGACCTCGTGAAGACGGCAGGGCCCCACTCGAAAGCCTGGGGGGGGGGAGGAAGAAGGGAGGACTCTGACACCAGGCGCTCGGATAAATATCGAGACGACTGGTTTTCATCAATTTCGGCTTGTGGGGGTTTCTTCCGGAGCCCGAGACCATCAAAAAAGGCGACTCGTGGTTAGAAGCCAGTCCCACAGGAAGGGGCCGAGAATTTCAGGGATACATCGAAGGGGCAGGAAGGAGGAGAAGACCAACTTCTTGTTCCCCATTGAAACTTCGCCTGAAGGGTCCTCAGAGCCCGTTGGCCATTGCGCTGGCGGCTCTGGACCGGGTCGCCTGCAGCGCCAGGCCTCGTTACAACCTGGGCGGGAAGGGCCATCCCCTCGGCGGCATCGGTTCCTGGCCACACGCCATGCCATGCTATGTACTGCTTTGCGTGGCCCTCCTCCCTTCTCTGAACGGAAAAAACTAAATCAACATAAACTGTCGGAGCTCCGACCCCCCCTGTAGGCGCCTCCAGCGCGCTCCGCGCGCCAGGGAGGGGAGCCCAGCGCCAATCCAAGAAATCCAAGCGGAGCTCCGAAAATGTATGTTAATGTTGTAGTGTCTTACAAGATTCATGAAACTCCTCCTCGGACGCCGATCCTGCCAAATCTCTGTCCTGCTCAAGCGTAGACATCCCAATTGCCTCCACAGATGTACACTGGGATGCCCGGCACTGGCGGGAGCATGAACATGGTGAACCCCACGCAGAAAAAGATCACGCACGACTCCACGAAGCCCAGATGCAACCTGAGGTACTCGTTGAGCCACGAGAGGAGGACGATGCAGAACTTACCTGCTAGGAGGGACGAGGGTGGGGAGCGCTCAGAGACCGCACCTGACTTCTCCTTGGGCGCTCGCATGATACAGGCTGCGGAACGCGCACGCACTCAAGCAAGGCGGACGCGCGGTCAGAAGGGGCGGGCGGGCCGGCGAGCGGGCGGGCGGGCGGACGCGACTACGACGACGTCGACGACGTGGACGGCGACGACGACGACGACGACGACGACGAGAACGACGACGACGACGTCGACGTCGACGACGACGACGATGATGACGACGTGGGCGACGACGACGACGACGATGACGACGACGACGAGGCTGGCGAGGACGACGACGATAACGACGACGACGACGACGACGACGACGACGACGACGACGACGGCGGCGACGACGACGACGGCGACGGGGCCCGCAGGCTGCGCTTCAGAGCACGCGTGCGGGGCGCATGTTCGATACCCCCTCGGCGACTGCACACTCAAAAGCAGACACCAAACGCGCACGTGCCAGACGCATGTTCGATGACGCCCCCCCGGCGCGCACGTATTTTTCCGTGCGAAGTTGACGCCACTCCAGTCTTGGGCCAAAGGCCCACTCAAACAGAGAGAGCCAGGGGCCAAAGCCCATACCGGGAAAATGCATGTCATGCCATCTGCGGAGGAGCGTCAGCTGAGCCGTCGTCCGCGATACCACAGAGCCACGCAATCGCCACGTGTCAAGATCGACTCCGACTGTGCGCCGAAGGCGCACTCAGGACTGCCAACATGAACAAAACACACACACACACACACACATAAACACACACCCGCCATGGAGTGTGGCGAGTCATCCCTTGCAGCGACCTCGCAACCGAGGGTGGGAGATGCGTCTTGGCGTGTACGCGGCGCGCCATGCGGTCGGATGACGCTACGACACGACGACGGGTGACAGCACCAGCGGCGGGTACCAGCCTGCTCCCTGAGCCAGCGTGAAGTACAGCACCGCAAGCAAATTGCACTTGGTGAAGATGCTGACCCACCTCCCCGTGTGGGCAGCTCCGCAAGCCCGGTCTAGAAAAGCAAGCGATGCCCTTGCTTGCGGAGTCACATGCTGCGTCCGCAGCCTTCGGCCGAGCTTCCGCCCGTGTCCGCGAGCAGAACCGCCATTTCTACTTCCGCGAGCTTTCCGTCGATCTCCCGTCAGCCTGCGACGCGGGCGGGAGGTCGGCATCCGGACCCCTCGAAGGCGAGGCCCTTCCTGGAATGCCTCGCGCGGGCCATTTGCCGGATATCTAGCTCGACGCGACCACTCTCGGCCCGCCGCCTCTCACCCCCTGGGACACGGACCACGGTGGGGACTCGCGGAGCTGGCAGCAGCATCAGGAATGGACAGGCCAAGCCACTCAAACCTGGCGCACGCAAACCAGGGCAATCAAGACCGCTGGGATAGTGAGACACCGAAACCACCACCCACCTCCTGCTAGAGGGGAGGGCAGGAGGAGGAGGAGCGGAGGGGGAAGGAGGAGGCAGGAAGGGAGGAGGAGCATGAGGACATCGCCGGCTTGCGCAACTTTGAAAGATAGCTGCTCCCTGCAGGCGCGCCCTGCATGCAATGGTGTCTAGGGGGTCCTGTCTGAAGGGGCGCCGAACATCCGCATGGAGGCACAGAAACATGCATAGATGCACGCATGGGTATGCACAAGCAGCATAGGCACACGCAGCCACTGAACAGGGAGGGAGGGACGATCGAGGGTTGCGTTTGTTGGACCCCTGCTCAGGGGCAATTGAAGAATCAGCACACTGCGCGTGGCCTCTGAAGTAGAAACTCGCTTCGTCCCAACATGGCGGGTGACGGTAATGCGCACGGAACGCTGCGCGCATGCATGGATGGGGGGCGACGGCCAGATGAACGGGATAGGTCGAGCAGGAGGGGGCAAGCGAGAGAGAGAGAGAGAGATGGCTGATCTGCCACGAACGCGGCGCTCAGCAGCAGCCAGAATCAGACTGCGCTCAGCCTGCGTGAGGAGAGGGGCAGCATCACCCTGTCGCCGTCCGCAGCTGGCCCTTCGCCGCTGGGACCGGCCAAGGTCACCGCCCATACCCGCCGGCGCCTCCAGTGCTCCAGGGCCCGGAAGACCTCAGCTGCCACCGATCTGCTGAGAGGACCTGGACCGACGAGCTCCACATCCCTGCAGCCGCTTCTCGGATCCCAGCCGTCGATGGGCTCGCCACACAACGCGACGGGCGGCCATCACGCCTGCCTTCGCTGCCCACCCCTGGCCCCCGCCCCCCAAGGCACGGGGCCCCGTCGCCACGGTCGGTCGCGAGAAAGGCCCGGAGGAGGTGCGACGCCCGGCCTCTCGCAAGGCAGAGGCAGAACGACGACATCGGAGCGAGACTCCTCGGGGATCTCTGGGAGCCCGCGGGTCTGGAGGATACGATGATCGCCGCGGCCGCTCCGGAGCGTTGCTCCGCGAGCGCTCGTCTTTCCGTCCTGGGCCTGCCTGCCCGGAGATCGAGCCAGAACGATCCGCGAGGGCCCCGAGGGCCCAAAGCTTAGCGAAAGCGCCCAGAATGAACAAGCGCGACGCCTGGATCTCGGGGCAAAACGGCATGTGACTAGCCTCAGGGGGAAGCACCAGCAGGAGGAAGACCACGAGGGTTCTGGACGATCTGGAGAGGTTGAGGCTCTGGGGAGCTGGGGGGGGGTCCCGAGGGGCACTTCCCCTCGAGGAGCAGGCGACCCCCCTGTCGCGAAAATTGCAACCTCGCGAGAACTCACGACCGACACCATGGACCCCATCTTTGTGCGGCCTGCGATGGCCCGAGGCCCGAGACCCGGCGAAAACGCCGGCCGGGAGAGAACTGCAGCGCCCGGCGCCTGCCCCCCCCCCCCCTGCCGGCGGCGCGCTCGCTGGGCCGCGGGCCGTGTTCGCCCCCGAGGTGAACCAGGTGTTGCCCGCGCTCTTGGGATCGCGGAGCCGGCGGGCACCCTGGGGGGCGGGCGGGCGGGGGGGAGAGAGGGAGGGGGGGGGGGGCGAGGAAGGCCCGGGGGTGGACAGGCCTCGAGGCGTCGCAGAGAAGGAGAGAGCACGAGGGTGCAGTTCCTGGGACTTCGGGCTCTGGGCGCCGCTGTCGAGGCGGCGCAGGGGCATCCCAGAAGCAGCCTGCGAGCAGAAGCCGGGCCCAGACATCCGCCGTCTTAATGTTTTACACGGGGCCCCCAGAAGCCCCGACCCTCTCCCCAGGGCCAACTTTCATCCTGAATCGGTGATTGACGGCTGGGGCCTTCAGAGCCCAAAATCACCCCCCGTGGACGCCAAAATGCTCAAGATGCTTTCAAGATGGATCCAGCCGGAAAGGCATCAGGAACACCCAAGGTTGCTTCACAACGGCCCAGCACGCCGAGAGAAGGCCCCAAGAGGAGCCCCGAGAGAGCTTCAAAAGGCAAACCTTAGGCTTTTGAGAGATGTTCGAGCTCTCGCCTGCGCTAGCGCTTGCAAACCCAACACGGCGCGAGAGGCCCCCCAGACCCTAGACTGCCCCATGGCGCACAAGATGCCCCCCCAAAGAAGGCCCAGAAAAAAGAGAGCCCCAAGATGGCGCCCAGGAGGCCCCCAAGAGGTCAAAAAGCGTCCACGAGGGGCCCAAGACAGGCCCATTAGGGGAACCCGGAACCCTGGGAGTCCCCCAAACAAGGTGGCCCCCCAGAAACCAAACATGCCCCCAAGAGGCCCTCAAGAGGCCCCCAATAATCCCCCAAGGAGGCCCCCAAAAGCCCCCTGAAGCCTTAAGCAAAAATCCAAGAGGGCCCCCTAGGCCCCCAAGATGCCCCCAAGAAGCCCCGCAACACACACGGAGGACGAGGAGGTCGAATAAGCAACGACGAATCAGCAACAACTACACGCAGACAATACGACGGGAAGCGTCAAGCAACACACACGAGATCGGAAGTTGCACATGTCCTCAACTTGGGGTCGGCGAAATTGTGCAAGCCTCTTGAATAATTCTTCTGAGGCTGGGGTGTGGGCCCCTCCGGATTCGAAAGAGGTGGCCCGTAGCCGCAGCCCATGGTGACTCGTGGGCTCCCCCGTATGGTCTCCCGTATGGCCGCCCATATGCTCTTCCGCATAGTCTCCCGAATGCTCTCCCGCATGCTCTCCAGCATGGTCTCCCGTATGGCCTCCCGTCCGTATGCTCTCCTGTATGGTCTCCCGCATGTCCAGTACAGTAGAGTGCTCCCTGACCAACCGCCGCCAGGGTGCAACGATGTTCGATGCGGTTCCGAGGCCCTGGCCGGTGCTGTCATAGTGCGTCTTAGGGCTGCTGCCTCGGCCGACGAAAAACCCTGCCGGAGGAGACCGAGGCGGGCGGTCCGGGGCCTCCGAAGGGAGGTCCGTCCCCGCGCCCTGCCGCTGCGCGCTGCTCTCGCCATTGCAGCACCCAGATCTCCGATGACTTAAGTTTTCCAATCCAGACGTTTGTCCTAAAGTTGGGACCTTCGAAAACGGATCCGGGGCGAAAAACTGCCCCAGGAAAAAGAATCGGGAGCTCTGGGGCCGCGGACTGAAACAATCCGCCACCGCGACCCCTGGCACGTTGGGGCGTGCTAGAATGCCACGTGCAGTCTGGCAAAGTTTCTGCAATCTTCGAAGACCCCCCCACCCCTTCTAGTCTCTGGTCGCACTTCCCCGCATGCACCAGCCCCCCTCCCGAGGCCACAAATTTCGCGCTCCCGAGGCAGCAACCCCTTGCAAAATACGACAGATGCACGCTCCCGAAGCCAAGGCGCCTCCAAGACGGTCCACTGTGGCCTCAAGACGGCCCATGAAGGCCTCCCATGGGACCCAAGACGGCCTTCTAAGGCCCTTCGACTGCCCAAGACGGCGCCAAGACGGCCTCACGACGGCCCCCAGGCACCCGCCATGGCCAAGAGATCCCCGACACGGCCACCAAGAGAAACCAAGACGGCCTCAGAAAGCCCTGAAACGGCCCAAGAGGGCCCCTAGGGCCCCCAAGACTGCCTCACAGTAGGCCCAGGCAGCCACAAGACGACCGAAACGAGTCCCACGAGGTCTCCTCAATTAGTGAAGACGAAAGGTGTCACATGTGACGGCCTTCCTCTTTCTTTTCTTCCCCATGCTCCTCCTCCTCCTCCTAATCCTAATCCTCCTCCTCCTCCTCCTCCTCCTCCTCCTCCTCCTCCTCCTCCTCCTCCTCCTCCCCCTCCTCCGCCTTTACATCATCCTCATCATCCTCATTATCATCCTTGTCTTCATACTCCTCCTCCTCCTCCTCCTCCTCCTCCTCCTCACCACCACCACCACCACAACCACCACCACCACCACCACAACCATCACCATCATCATCATCATCATCATCATCATCATCATCATCATCATCATCATCATCATCATCATCATCAGCATCATCATCATCATCATCATCATCGTCATCATCATAATCATCATCATCATCATCAGCCTCATCATCATCATAATCATCATCATCATCATAATCATATCATTGTCATTGTCATCTTCATCCTCACCACCATCATCATCATCATCATCATCATCATCATCGTCATCATAATCAGCATCATCCTCATCCGCATCCTCATCCTCATCCACATCATCATCAGCAGCATCATCATCATGCTCATCAGCATCAGCATCATCATCATCATCAGCATCATCGTCATTATCAACATCGTCATCGTCATCAGCATCGTCATCAGCATCATCATCATAATCAACATCAGTAGAGTCATCATCAGCAGCATCACCATCATCATCATCATCAGCATCATCAGACTCATCAGCATCACCATCAGCAGCATCATCACCAGCATCATGATCAGCATCATCATCGTCATCACCATCAGCATCCGCATCATCAGCGTCAGCATCAGCATCAACATCATCATGCTCAGCAGCATCATCATCAGCAGCATCAGCATCATCAACATCGTCATCGTCATCAACAGCGTCATCATCATCATAATCAGCATCCGCAGAATCATCATCAACAGCATCACCGTCCTCATCATCAGCATCATCATACTCACCAGCATCACCATCAGCAGCATCATCACCATCATCATGATCATCATCATCGTCATCAACATCATCAGCATCATCGTTGGCATCACCATCAGCATCCGCATCATCATCAGCAGCATCATCATAACCATCAGCATCCTCTACCTCCTCCCCATCATCATCATCATCAGCATCGTCATCATCATCATCATCATCAGCATCGTTATCATCATCATCGTCATCAACGTCATTAGCATCATCAGCCTCCTGATCGTCATCACCGTCACCAACCGAAGCATCACCATCATCGCCATCATCAGCATCACCAGTATCATCGTCAGCGTCATCGTCATCGTCGTCATCATCATTATCATCTTCATCCTCATCAGTATCACCATCACCACTATCACCTTCACCATCACCATCGCCGTCGTCGCCACCATCATCCTCCTTATCATCCCCAGTATCCCCAATGATGATCAACGCCATCGACACTATCATCAGCATCATCAGCATCATCAGCATCATCATCATCATCATCATCATCATCATCATCATCATCATCATCATATCATCATCATCATCATCATCATCAGCAGCAGCAGCATCAGCATCAGCATCAGCATCACCATCAATCATCATCATCAACATCGTCAACGTGATCGTCATCGTCATCGTCATCGTCGCCATCCGTCGCCATCGTCATCATCATCATCATCAGAAGCATCATCACCACCATTGTAATCATTGTAATCAGCAGCAGCAGCAACATCTTCATCATCATCAGCATCATCACTGCTCTCCTAAGCCTGGGGACACGAAGTGTCACACGTGACGGCCTCCCGTGCCCCCTCGAACAGTAGTCACCCAGAATGCTGCTCTGGAACGTTGGCAGGACTTGCCGCAGGCAGCTGGATATCGGAGGACGCCTGGGTAGAATAGAAGAAGATGATGGGCTTCAGACTTCACCTTCCACGTCTCGCTGCCTGACGGCACGGCCTGATCTCATGGCCCTCTAGTCTCACACCTCTGGCAAGAGCTCTGAAGCTGATCAAGTCAGTTTCCATCATCAGCTCGCCCCCGTTGTTCCGAGCAGCGGCCACTCTGTGAAGCCTGGCGCCGAGGCTAGCTACGTCGGGCTTCGAAACATCACCTTCAACATCTCGCTGACTACTGACACAGCCTGCTGCCACTGCCCGCATGTCTCGCTCGCGCTCATCCCAGCCCTGTAACTGGCGAAGTCGGGCTCCAACTTCGTCTCCCCCATTGCTCTGAGCAGAGACAGAACCTGCTGCCACTGCTCACAATTCTCGCACGCTGTCATTCCAGCGATGTAGCTGACTAGAGAGGACCCGTGGACTACCGACCACTCAGGCTTACTCGCATGCAAGGGTGAGAACCTCCTGTCTGCTCGAGTGCTCACACACTGACCTGCTTGCGTTGATTGGTCGGCTTGACAAGCTGTTGCTTGCCACCGCATGCTGCGTCTGCTAACTCATGCTTAGTGCTGCTGGTACTTGCTGCTGCTCGGAGGAGGTCGCAGCTGCGCGCTGCCACTCGATGCTGGACATTCCGATAACCCTGGGAAGAGGAACGAGCAGAGGTACGATCAAAGTTCTGCCGTACGGAACCTTCGCTAAGGAACGAAGCCCCTGTTTGGCCGCAGGAGCGCCTAGATTTGCGTGGAGCGAGGTAGGAGAACTCAATGAAGAGCTTAATGACCCTCCACCCCCTTCCGAAACCGAAGTGGCCCTCACTGATCCGCCTGAGAATGTCGTGGGGCCAAATTTGGAGCCCTCATGGGCCGTCTGACGTAGTCTCAGAGGCCTGCCAGGGCCATCGTGGTCTGCCTTGAAGGTGCCTTGGGCCAGCTCTTGTGGGTCTCTAGAACCCTCTTGGGCCCTTGTCGGGACCATCTGGGGACGAAAGGTGGCGAGCACCACCAAACTATTTTACGAAGCCCTACTATACAGGAAGTCCACGCCGTTCGCCTCTCGGGGGCACTGCGCGGAGCCGCCTGGGAGCATCCTGGGGCCACCTCGGCACCATCTCGAAGCGTCTTGAGGCGTCTGGGGATGTTGGGGAGACCTGGTGCTGGCCGTAGTGGGGGACCTCCTGGAGCCCTCAGAAGGCGCCACTGGACCGTCTGGGGAAGTCTCCAGGGCACCCCACCGCCTTGGGGCCACGTGAGATCCATCTTGGAAAACTAAGAAAGCCTCTTGGCGCTGTTCTGGGCCCTGGTTGTGGGGCCTCTCTGTGCAATTCTGGTGGCTTTCTGAAGCCTGGCAGGGCCCGTCTGGAAGGGTTTGGGGGCCGTCTTGGGGCGGTCTTGCGCAGCGGTGGGGCCATCTCGGAGGCCGGTCAGGGCCGTCTTGAGCTACTTATCTTTTGGGGGCGTCGTGGACCCTATTCAAAGAGCTTGTCGATCTCTCGGTCCTCTCGGAGGCCTCTGGTGCCCTTCTCGGAGAGCCATCTGGAGCCGAAAATGCTCTCTGGAGCTTCCCTGGAGCCACCCCGAACCGACGATGGGTCGCCAACTTTGTACAAAGACTGACACGGAAATCAGACGGGTTTCGCCTGGGGGGCCTCTTGGAGCCCGGATTTGCGCCAGCTCTTGAGGCGCCTTGTGGCACGTCTGCTGGTCGCTGGCGCCTCCAGGCCTGGGGGGCGCCAGGCCGGGTGCGCCCGAAGGAGTGGTGCCAGGCCCGAGGCACGTGCGCGGACGAGGGGCGGCCAGGGGGCGCTTCGAAAGAGGAAGAAGAAGACGAGGAAGAAGAAGAGAACGGAGAAACATGAGAAGAGGAAGAAGAGGAGGAGGAGGAAGAAGGAGAAGAAGAGGAAGAGGGCGCCATGAGCTCGGGAAAACTTCTGGGCGGTGGCCACGATATCCCTCCCCCCGTGGTCCTCACCCCTCTCCTGGACGGAAAGCAGAATGGCATACGAGTAGGATGTGCATACGTTGGAGGCACAAGTCCGACACAGACATATAGCACACGACCATGACATGATGAGAGATCGTTACCACAGCGGCATGGCCAGAAGGCGTCCGCCAGGGATCTAATGCTGACTACAGAGTGTCTGAGCGTGCGCGTCGCCCCTGCGGGGCCGACGCACACATAGCACGAAATAGTTCTGGGCGACGCCAAAAGGGGCCAAGCGGGGGCACGTCGAGGCCCGCCGGGCCGCCCTGCCGTCACTGAGAGTTCCTCGCCCGTTCTGGCACGCACTGCGCCCGGCACTGGCAGGAGAGCTTCGCTCTACAAGCAGTGAAACACACCCTCCGACAAGCCCCGCACATCTCACCGCATACCAAATTGCATTGCACATTGCCAGTAGGATCGCGGGACGCAGCCCGGGCGGGGATAAAGGACGAGGACGAGGAGGCGGCGGGGACGAGGAGGCCGAGGACGAGGGGAGGTGCCCCTGGCGGCGGCCCGCGGCCCGGGGCCCGGCACCGAGATGGGAACAAACCCGCGTTGAGTGCACATCAGTTATCTGCATTGGTAGGACCACCGAGAGAGTATCAAAACCCTTTCTAAATTCAGGTCCGTCCTCCGTTCTGGATGCTTTGTTCCTCCATGCTGGAAACATATTGTTCCTCCAAGGTCGAAGATCGACCTCCGAGATTGAGCCTTCCTGTCCTCTAGGTAGGGCGGACCAACGGAATGGCATACAAGACAGCTTGTGAGATGCATGGCCACAGGCAACTTTGAAATGTTTTATCCGCCCACGTACTCACGCTAATTGCCCAGCATGGTCCCACGCGCGCAATGAATCGTGAGATGATCGAAAGCGCGAGAGACCGATCTGAGGAGAGCCTGGGAATCCTGCCGAATCACCAGTTGACCTCTCGTACGCCGTGATGCCCAAATTGTAATTGACTTCGTCGGGCTCTAAAATGATATCCCGCATTTCGCTGAGCAACGACAATACTTGCCACCACGGGCCACATCTTTCGCACGCGTAGATTCCAGCGTTGTAGCTGATGACGTTGGGCTCCAGCCTAGACTTCCGCATCTCGGCGAGCAGCGACAGTGCACGCTGCCACTGCTTGCTTTTCTCGCACGCGCTGATCCCAGCATTGTAGCTGATGACGCTGGGCTCCAGCTTCGATTCCCACATGTCGCTGAGCAGCGACAGGGGCTGTTGCCACTGCCCACCCTTCTCGCACGCGCTGATCGCAGCGTTGTAGCTGAGTATAGCTGATCCGCAAACTCCCTTACACCCACACAAGCTTACTCACATGCAAGAAATAAGACCTCTGACCTGTTTGCGTGCTGTCCTACGCGCATGAGCACTGGCCTGCTAGCCTGGCAACTTGTTACACAGTGTTCCTGTTTGCATGCCGGCCGACTTGTCTGGCACCGTGCTTCCCTGCTTGCTAGTTCGATCGCGTGCTACAGTCGTTCGCTGCCGGTTTGTGCTGATTGTTCCTGTTGGCCGTTGCAAACGGCGTGTTGCTTGTGGTGCCTGTTCGCTAGTGCGCAATAATGATTGCTGCTGATTGGCGATGTCTGATGCGAACAACAAGTGTTACCGCTAATTGATGTTGCTTGCTGCTGATGGTTTCGACTGCAGGCTGCTACTGAATTGCTAGTTATGACTGCATGCGTACGTACACGCGTGCTCTCCTGCTTCGGTGGTTGGTAGTCCGACGTCTTGCTTGGTTGCTAAGTGCTGGCTAATCCATTGGCTGCCGCGTACTCCCGCATGTTGATGCCTAGTGATGACTGCTGCTACATGCCATTGCTTTAATACTACTGCTACAGTATGCAGCTTGGTGACGGCAACTTATTGTGTAATCTACGGTTCCAAATTGCGTCGATGTTTATTGCACGAAGGTTCCGGAACCGAAGCGAACTGGTTAAACCGAACCTGGCTGAACCGAACCGGCGCGAATCGTTTTTTCCCAACAGTCCTGTGGTGTTGGGTCCTCGTTTTGAAGAGACGGTCCCCGCGCTCCTCTCTCCTCCTCTCCTCCTCCTCCCCCCTCCTCCAGTTTCACCCCTCACTTTGGCACACCACTCACACGTTTCGTGCTCCCATAAGGAGCTCAACCGAAGGCCCCAGTGGGGGTGCTCGCATGCGTGCCCCCCCCACCACCCAGTTTAGCGCTTCGTGGCCCCATAGGCAGCTCCACCGAAGGCCCCAGTGGGGGTGCCCACATGCGTCCCTCCCACCCAGTACAGCGCTTCAACGCCCCATAGGCAGCTTCAACGAAGGCCCCAGTGGGGGTGCCCGCATGCGTCCCCCCCACCCAGTACAGCTTTTCGTGGCCCCAAAGGGAGCTCCACCGAAGGCCGCAGTGGGGGGGGCCGCATGCGTCCCCCCCACCCAGTATAGCGTTTCGTGGCCCCATAGGGAGCCCCACCGAATGCCCAAGTGGGGGTGCCTGCATGCGTCCCTCACACCCAGTACAGCGCTTCGTGGCTCCATAGGGAGCTCCACCAAAGGCCACAGTGGCACCGCCCGCATGCGTCTCCCGTCACAGAATGGACTGAGCATATCAGAAGCTGACGGATGTGGGTTACAGGGGGGGGCCACCATGTGAGACTTGGAGTGCTGCACGGTGGAACGACGCCCCCCCCCCTCTGCGCACCCAGCGCTACATCTGGGGAGTACCGTGGTGCACACAAGCCAGGAACAACTTAGAGTGGGCAACCTCCTACTATTCACCATCACACAGCTCCTAGCCGAACACGTACGTGCTGGCACTAGCGGCTGGATCGAGCATCCCCCGCCAGCTCCCTGGCGCCGGAGGCGCCATCGAGCTTTTCTTGGATGCCTCTCCGAGCCTTCGAAAGCTGTCCTCTAGTCAGCACTGTTCAGTTTGATCAGTGCATGCACCATACGGAGAATCCCAGCTTACACGGCAAGGCCGCGACTAGGATACTGGCTCTTAGGCTTCCTACTAAGCATAGTCTTCTCAAGGCCACGCACAACGACAAGTGCAGCCACGGCCCCAATGCCCATGCAATCCTGCTGGGCAAGAACGACGACGGTACTTCAAAACGAGTGGAAAGAAGACGTACCCACCATCCGTGTGCCTGGCGGTCGCCAGAGCCATGCACGACAGCATCCTAGATGCCTTCCACCACGGACAGGAGCCACCACCGGAAGCTGAGCCAACTACACGGGTGTATGACGACGCGAGGGTGAGGCAATTCTATGTGCTGTGGTCCGATTCCGAGCAGTTCTGGGAGGCACCCGATTTTGCCGGCAACAAGGGCTCTAAACGTCAAGTCGATCCTGAGATGTGGCGTTTGGCTCCTCCCGACCTGCCTCCCCCTCCCTCCTCCGCCTCCTCCGGGTCCCCTCCTTGCCCGTCAGTGGCCCCTGTGGGGTTTCCCGAGGTGGCCCCCGAGGATCCGCCTCCGCCCGAGGATTCCCTCGAGGCCGACGAGGAGGCGGCGCGGCACTTCGACCTCGGCGGAGCTCAGCCCCCAGAGCCGACCAATCTGCTTGCGCCCGCGGCCTCCTTCCTTCTGCCACTCCCACCGCCACCTCAGCTAACGCCTGAGCATGAATAGCCTGTCCCCTGTTGTTGCCCCTGGGCCTTTCCAGGCCCCGAGGGGCCTATGCAAAGTCATAGTCAACAGCACGAAAACGACCAAGCGTCCATATCAGCGTCCGCCGCCGCCGCCTCCCGTCACCCCCCTCACTTTGGCACACCACTCACACGTTTCGTGCTCCTATAAGGAGCTCAACCGAAGGCCCCAGTGGGGGTGCCCGCATGCGTCCCTCCCACCCACCCAGTACAGCGCTTCGTGGCCCCATAATTAGGCAGCTCCACCGAAGGCCCCAGTGGGGGTGCCCGCATGCGTCCCCCCCCACCCAGTACAGCGCTTCGTGGCCCCATAGGGAGCTCCACCGAAGGCCCCAGTGGATTTGCCCGCATGCGTCCCACCCACTCAGTACATCGCTTCGTGACCCCTCAGGGAGCTCCACCGAAGGCCCCAGCGGATTTGCCCGCATGCGTCTCCCCCACCCCGTACAGCGCTTCGTGGCCCCATGAGGAGCTCCACCGAAGGCCGCAGTGGGGAGGTGCCGAATGCGTCCCCCCACCCAGTACAGCGCTTCGAGGCCCCATAGGGAGCCCCACCGAAGGCCCAAGTGGGGGTGCCTGCATGCGTCCCCCACACCCAATACAGCGCTTCGTGGCTCCATAGGAAGCTCCACCGAAGGCCCAAGTGGGGGTGCCCGCATGCGTCTCCCCCACCAAGCACAGCGCGTCGTGGCCCCATAGGCAGCTCCACCAAAGATCTCAATGGCACTGCCCGCATGCGTCTCCCCCACCGAGTACAGCGCTTCGTGGCTCCAGAGGGAGCTTCACCGAAGGCCCCAGTGGGGGTGCCCGCATGCGTCTCCCCCACCTCGTACAGCGCTTCGTGGCCCCATGAGGAGCTCCACCGAAGGCCCCAGTTGCACCGTCCGCAAGCGTCCGTCACACCCAGTCTGTACAGCTCTTCGTGGCCCCATATGGAGCTCCACCGAAGGCCCCAGTGGGGGTGCCCACATGCGTCCCCCCCACGCAGTACAGCGCTTCGTGGCCCCATAGGGAGCTCCACGGAAGGCCCCAGTGGGGGTGCCCTCATGCGTCTCCCCCACCAAGTACAGCGCTTCGTGGTCCCATAGGGAGCTCCATCGAAGGTCTCAATGGCACCGCCCGCGTCTCCCCCACCCAGTACATCGTTTCGTGGCCCCATAGGGAGCTCCACCGAAGGTCCCAGCGGCGCAGTCCGCATGCGTCTCCCCCACCCAATACAGCGTTTCATGGCCCTACAAAGGGGGCTCTACCAAAGACGATACCTACAAACGCCGTGTTCACAACTGCATGGGGTTGGGTCCTGCGCCAGGCTAATTTTTGTCCAACACGGACCGAACCGAACCGGAGGGGCCGTTTTTGCAACTCGAACCGAACCGAACCGAGCCGAACCACAGACCAAAGCGGACCGAACTGGACCGCACCAGAGCGCTGAAGCCACCACAGTGAATCGGAAACTGACCCCGAAGCCTCCCCCCGCGGATTTGTGCAAGAGGGCCGCCGACCCCAGCGGACCCCGCTCCGGACCCCGCTCCAGACCACGCACCCCGCTCCGGATCCCAGCGGACCCCAGCGGGCCACAGTGGACCCCAGCGGGCCCCAGCTGGCCCGAGCAGATCCCAGCGGACCGAAGCGGACCGCAGCGGATCGCAGCGGACCGCAGCGGACTGCAGTGGACCCTAGCGGACCCTAGCAGACCCTAGCGGACCCCAGCGGGCCGTAGCAGACCCTAGCGGACATCAGAGAACCCCGACTGACCGTAGCGGACCCCAGCAAACCCCACCGAGCGGACCGTAGCGGACCCCAGCGAACCGTAGCGGACCCCAGCGGACCCTAGCGGACCCTCGCGAGCCCCAGCGGACCGCAGCGGACCCCAACGGACCCTGGCGGACACTGGCAAACCCCAACAGACCTCAGCGGACCCCAGCGGACCCCAGCGGGCCCTAGCGGACCCCAGCGATACCTAGCGGACCCTAGCGGACCCCAGCGGACCCTAGCGGACCCTCCTGGACCCTACCGGACCCTAACGGACCCTAGCAGACCCTAGCAGACCCTAGCGGACCCTAGCGGACCCTAGCGGAACCCAGCGGATCCCAGCGGATCCGAGCGGCCCTAGCAGACCCTAGCGGATCCTAGCAGACCCGAGTGAGCCCTAGCGGACCCGAGAAGACCCGAGCAGACCCGAACAGACCCTAGCGGACCCTAGCAGACCCCCGCGGGCCCCAGCGGACCCCAGCGGATCCTAGCGGACCCCAGCTGACCCCAGCGAACCCGAGCGGACCCGAGCGGACCCGAGCAGATCCTAGCGGACCCTAGCGGGCCCTAGCAGACCCTAGCGGACCCGGGCGGACCCGAGCAAACCCACGGCCCAGTAGGCTCCCAAGACCACTCCAAAACAGCCAAAGAGGCCCCCAAGAGGGCCCCGAGACGGCCCAAGAGGGCCCCAAGACGGCCCAAGAGGCGCCCAAGACGGCCCCAAGACGGGGAACACAAACCAAAACATGTAGCATTCTGCCCCGAGAGACCCCCCAGAGGCCCGAAGAGGCACCCAGGAGGCCCCGGGAGGCCCCAAAGGTCC